TTCCATAAAAAAATTATCTTTAAATCACATCATGTGCTTGACCTCTCTGAGTCTCCCCACTCTACTGCTCCAACCAATCTTTCCCTCTCACACCAACGGTCAGCTTATGTTTTCCGGCTCCACCGTCTGCCGCCCACCGCCACCCATATTTTGGAGGTACAGTCTTTATTTCTTTGTGGCATTCTCTCACCATAGAGATCACATATATTCATTTCATCTTCAACCTCCCATTCTCTATGCTACTGGAGAGTGTCGCGTTACCAACATTGACACACTAAAGAAAGGTATCGCCTTTTCTCCTTCTTCCTTTCAAGCACTTTTGTTGTATTTCTCAAAAGTCTCGGGTTGATTATGAACTATTGCGTACGCCTAGATCTGTTATTTTTAATTTGATAGAGGGTTTTGTGGTTTTCTTGGTTTAATGATGATAATTAAATACCCAGCCTTTGCCTGTTCTTCTTTATTATTGATAAATTCACAACTTCTACTGTTTTTTGGTTTTCTGCTGTGCCTTTGACCCTACTGTCAAAAGTAATGGAATGTTTTCTCTTGTATTGATCTAGTGCATAATTACATACATATATACAGCAAGCAAAAATTAATTCTAGCAAAAGTTAAGCCTAAAGAAAAGGAAGTAGTAAAAGTGTAGTAAAAGTGCAGCAAAAGTGGAAAGTACAAATTTACTGCTAAAATGCTGATATGCAAAGATGAAGCAGATATGCTGAGATTGCTCTATGCTGATATTTCTCCATAATTGTAGGCGCTAATACTCCCCCTCAAGCTGGAGCATGAAGGCTTCGAATACCCAGCTTGTTGCAGAGGAAGGAAAATGTGTCCTTGCCCAGCGGTTTGGTGAAAATGTCAGCAGGTTGTTGTGAGGAACGAATGGGCAACAGACGAATGACTCCCAGCTGAAATTTTTCTCGAACAAAGTGGCAATCAATTTCAATGTGCTTGGTGCGTTCATGGAACACTGGGTTTGCAGCTATGTGTCTTGCAGCTTGATTGTCACAATATAGTGGTGTAGACTGAGGCAGAGGAATACCAAAATTATGCAGTAGCCTCCATAGCCAGATTACTTCTTTGGTAGTGGTGGCCATGGTACGATACTCAGCCTCAACAGAAGAGAGTGAGACGGTGTTTTGTTTCTTGCTTTTCCATGAAATGAGACTATTACCAAGAAAAATACAATAGCCAATGGTAGAACGACGGGTAGTGATACAGTTAGCCTAATCAAAATCACAAAATGCTGTCAGTGTAAGAGAACTGGTGGAGGAGAATAGTATACCTTGACCCGGAGTCTTCTTCAAGTACCGAAGTAGTCGGAATGCAGCATCTAGGTGTGGTTGCCGTGGAGATTGCATGGACTGGCTTAAAATATTCACAGCAAAAGAAATATCAGGTCTGGTGATAGTAAGATATATAAGTCTACCGACAAGACGCTGATATATATATGGAAGGATCATCTAACAAGGGTCCATCACAATTTGTGAGTTTAAGGTTTTGTTCCATTGGTGTTTCTGCAATTCTACTGCCCAGTAATCCAGCATCATTAAGCAGATCAAGTATATACTTTCGCTGACAAAGGTAAATGCCCAGCGGAGAACGAGCCACCTCAATGCCAAGAAAATATTAATTAATTAAATATATATAATTTTTATTAAATATTTTCATGTAATAAAAAAATTTTAATTATTATTTATATAATATTTTAAATTTTATTAGTTCACAAAAAAATTATCTTTAAGTCACTACTTATCCTTGACCACTCTCAATCTCCCCACTCTACTGCTCCGACCAATCATTCCCTCTCTCACACCTACGGTCGGCTTATATTTTCCGGCTCCACCTTCTGCCGCCCACCGCCACCCATATTCTGTAGGAACAGTCTTTATTTCTTTATGGTATTATCTCACCATAGAAATGACATACACTTATTTCATCTTCAACCTCCTATTCTCTATGCTACTGGAGTGTGTCACGTTACCGACATTGACAAACTAAAGAAAGAAATCGCCTTTTCCCCTTTCTTTCTTTCAAGCACTTTCGTTGTATTTCTCTAAATTGGTGGGTTCATTATGAATCATTACGTACGCCTAGGTCTGTTAGTTTTAATTTGATAGAAGGTTTTGTAGTTTTCTTGGTTTAATGATGATAAATATCCAGCCTTTGCTTGTTCTTCTTTATTGGTTTTCGTTAATATATTCATAAATTCACGACTTCTACTGGTTTTTTGGTTTTCTGCTGTGCCTTTGACACTACTTCCAATATGTATGCAGCAATTATTTTCTGGGTTTGATAATTCATTATTCTGGGGTTTTTTTAGTTTTCTGCTGTGCCTTTGACCCTACCATCCTAGATATTTTTTGTGAGAAAGAAAAAACTGGTAGGGAACAGGCACTGAAATTGTTACCATCATGATCAGTGCTCATTCTCCTATTCATTTAGTAAAACCTTCAATGGATTGTTAGCATGACGCATGGGTTAGAAGTTTTTGCTCAGGTACTTAAATTTTGACTGAATTTCTTTATGAGACTAGATAAGTTTTGGTCCCAAGAATTGTAATAGGCACATAGATAGAGTTAGATGGGTGCGTAGATCATGGATGTACATGTGGCTATGTGCTTTCTTGTTTCAGCTAGTTGTGTGCCTCAGTTACTGATAAGCTAAGCAATGGTTAATTAAACACTTTGTATCTTGACTAGAATGCTTGTGTAACTGGCTCTAAGCCACTGACTGAAAGATGGAATTACTTGAAAATGGCAAAGTTGGTGCCCACTAGTATAAGTTAAATTTAGTAAAACTTCTACAGTAATGAAAGAACTCTTGTACTTGTTTGCCTTTTACTAGTTAGGGAAGACAGACAGTGGCTTTTATGAGACTCTTAACTTGATTATTGCTTTAAATTGGTATGCTCTCATTTTCTTTGCTTGCATGTGTTTTTCATTTGAGACCTGAATTTGGACAATGTTAACAACTAACTTTGCCTTGATTGTTGGGCATTCTTTTACCAATGTGATTTTAGGCAAATTTAGGTATAAAAGCTCTGTTATTATTGGAAAACTATACAGACCATTCACATCAGGATATTTTACGTTCTGGAATGCAGGATTGTCTCTTTACTGGACAACTTGGACTTCATTTCTTAATCATCATGCCGAAGTCTTGCTTTCTGAAATTGATATGAAGCTGAAGCATTGAAATTAAAGAATCTTTGTAGGCCTAATTTATCCATTGATATGTGGCGAGTGGAACCCCTGGAAGCAGTATGTGTGATTATTTAATGCTTGCTATGTGAACTGAAAAAGTTTTGCATGTGCTGGTTACAAGGTTTTGGAGAAGCACTCTCATGCATGGGCAGGGCATAAACTACTTAAGCTTAGGTGTGATTTTGCTAAGCATATCAGGATAAATGTTGGGAATGGGAGACAGACCTCATTGTTCTATGAATTTTTGTTAGAAGATGTTAAGCTGTGTGATAAATTCCTCAAGCTATGATATAGATTTGGGGTGCTAAGTTGTGTGTTGCAGATCGGTGGCACAATGGCAGATTGATAGCCGTGACTGTAACCCAAATCATATGCCTGAAGTGCTTGGAGAAGAGAACAGAAATCGCATAATTTGTCAAGACAAGTTTGCTTATACAATGAAAGATCACTGCATGACTTCCACTTTGAAATTCCATAGCTTTGCCCTTAATAGAGAGTCATTCAAGTCAGTTTATTTGGCATAATCTTTAATCTGATTATCTTTTTAATGTGACTAACATATGATATGTTTCATTTTTTTAATGTTAAAGATATAAGTATTTATTTATTAAACTGGTTAATTAGTTTGGCTCCGTTAAATATGATTGTGTTTATGAGTTTCACGTGTCTTTGTAACAGTACTATGATTATTAGAGAAAAAAAGAATAAAAATAATTTTAATAATATTAAACAAGTATATATATTTTTTTCTCGCAAGTGTTAATTTAATTTTTGATTTGTAGTTTTAGTTTTCAATAGTTATCGAATTTATAAAAATAAAAAAAATTCAAACTTAAAATAAAAAAATTTAGAACTACAATTATACTATACTATATGAAACTTTAATATTTATGTTTTATGAATATAAAAAATCTATTTACAAAAATTAAAAAAAGGTTAAATGCTTAATTTGGTCCCTCAACTTTATGAAATGAACATTTTTGATCCCTCAACAATTTTTTGCACTTTTTTGATCCCTCAACTATACGAAATGCACTCCGTTAGTCCTTCTGTTAATTTCGATCGTTAACTCACTTACGTGGCATTTTTTATAAATTTTTGATGACGTGGCAAAATCAAATTGAAAACGTGTTGCCCCGTGGATTTTTTTTGATGCCAACTTATATTATTATTATTTATATTTTAAAAAATAAAATAAAATAACTCACAGTCATCTTCTTCCTTTCTCTTTTTCCTTTTTCTCCTTCCTCTTCTTTCTTCTTCTTCTTTCTTCCTCGGGTCATTGAACCCAGTTGCTGGGTTCGGTGGAACCCCCTCTGGGTTTGATGGAACCCATTTGCTGGGTTCCGTCGAACCCAGCAACTGGGTTCG